GAGCGCCTGGCCACTGGCATGCGGTGAGGAAGGGCAGTCGTGGCAGGAGCTGGCTGGGAAGGCAGGGGAGCAGGAGATGGGGACATTCATCGCCTCCCGCTGTAGGACCCAGCTGTGGGAACGGTCTAGGGGTGCTGGGGGGCAGATGGCCCATGCTGGAGTCAGCTGGGTGTCTCTGCCACTGGGGCGGACCTCAGTCTGACCACCTGAAATGGGGCAATTTCCCCCTTTCTGGTGCCCGTATCGCTCTGAGTCACCTCCAGGCAGCTCTGCCCACTGCCTGCCCTGCCCAAGGCCTCCCAAGGCAGCCTCCTGTGGGGACAGATCCCCATGTCTGGACCCCGAGCTGTAGGGTGGCCCACAGGGTCAGTCTGGCTGTGCCCTGCAAGTGGTGACACTTGCCCAGGAACGTGGAAATTGCCCCTGTCCCTGCAAACCCAGGGACACAGGACGGCGTGGCCAGCTGGCAGTGGGCACAGACGTCCCACCCCCTGTGCCTCCCACGGATCCCTCTTCCCGAGCCTGCCCGTCCCCCTGGCATGCCAGGCTGCTCCCTCACCTCTCGCCCCGCAGTGTGGTCCATGGCCCCCAGTGCCGGCTCGGGCGGAGCAGCATCACGGCAGCGTGTCTGCGGGCTCCGGGCCGCCCGGCTCGGGGCTCCAGGGCGATGCCAACATGTCCCAGGCGGGCGCAGGGCTGCAGAACTGCCGCGGGCTTCGGCACCGGCCTGCGCCTCCCACTGCTCGTCCCTCCTCCAGGACAGCCCTCCGGGCCCCATCCCTGTCCCCACCCTCCCGTCCTGCCCCTTCCTGGGCACTGCCTCTTCGCTGGGCTTGGCCCCTGCCCCGGCTGCCCCACGTCCTGCCCCTCAGCCAGGCGCTGCCCTCCTCCAGGGCTGTCCTACACGTTCCCGCTCATTCCCTCATGCTCCTTCCCTCTCTCACCTTCCCCTTGATGGCCCTGTTGTCCCATCTGCCTCTTGGTAGCCCTTAAATGCATCCGTTGCATTGCTGTGTGGGTACGTAGCTGACCCAAGATGCATGTGCCGAGGGAGATCTTTGATGTTCTCAGGTGCCTCCAGCTCTCCTTGTCATTTTCATCATTAGTCCATGGGTTAGTGGAGATATTTACTGTGTTTGCAATAGCCCAGGGCAGGGTGCAGGTGCTGGGACAGCAGAGTGAGGATCTGGCCAAATTGGAGAAAGAGGATAGAACATCCACTCTGATAAGGAGGAGGAAGAGGAGGAGGAGGAGGACTGGGCTTGGCCAGGTGAATGGTTGGGACCATCTGCCCCTGGGAGGCTGTGTGTGAAGCACCGCATCCAGCTCCGGGTGCTCCATGCTGGGAGGGATGTGGAGTGGGATGGGGAGGCCTGGACTGCAGCAGGGGCTGCGGGCACGGGGGGACATCATCCCTGGGCTCTGCTGCAGCGGCTGCTCCTGCGGCCGGGCTGGCAGCAGGTTTCCCACATCCAGGCTATTACCCAAAGCTGTGCTCCATGCGGTAGGTGAGAGGTCTCTGCTCTTAGTGATGGGCTGATTTGCCTCAGCATGGGTTCTGTGCGTCCAGGGATAGGTTTTGTCCTGCAGCGAGACGGTGTTTTCCCTGCTGGCCACCCGGCTGCCTTTAATGCAGTGCTTTTCGCAAGCACCCTGCCCGGGCTGGCGGTTGCTCTGCTCCGCGTTGCCTAACCTTGCTTGGAGGACATCCGAGGTCAGTGCCCTCCTCTGCTCCTGCCTGCAAGGCTGATAGTCACCCCATGTCCTTCGAAGGAGGCTGCCACCCAGGCCCGTCTCTCTCTGTCCTGCCCCAGCAGCCCCCCGAAACACCTCTGCAAAGGGCTGGGGCAGCGGGGACCTCTGTTGAGAGAGGGCTGCCCTTGGCAAGTCTCTGCACACGCGGTTCGGTGCGGAAAGCCCACTTCTGCTTATCGTGGGCTTGCTTCCACCCTGCCCAAAGCAGAAGCAGAACTCAGCTAGGGCCTGGCACGGCTCTTGCCTTCTTCCCTGGCCCCTCCAGCCGTGGCATCGGGGGGAGACCTGTCTCTGGGGTGGGGATGACACTGGCAGCACCACAAATACCCCCCAAGCTGGGTGCACAGAGACCCTCGGGGCAAGTGCCACGCTGGGAGAGTGCCAGGGCCGTGCCAGGCTGCTGCTGCCTCTTTGAGGAAGCTGCGTTATGTTTTGCTAAATATAACCACTGCCTCTTGTGGAAGGTTTGCTGAGATCTGCGGGATGAGTGGCTGGAAGCACAAAGCGAAGGATGCCAGCAGTGCCGGTGGCAGCGGGCCTGCCATGCTTTCCAAAGGCAGCAGTGCCAGCGGAGCACTGCCACCTCTTGCATGGCGCCAGGACCTGGCTTACTTGTCATCTCCAGCATCTCAGCAGCCCTGATGCCAACTGCGTGCTCCCTCCCCGTGTGCCCGGAGGGCAGAGATGGAGGCAGTGAGAGGAAGCATCGCCCGAGGCAAGAGGGAGATGCTGGGGCATCCCCACAGCTGGAAGCCCTACTCCACTCTGGTGGTGGTCCCGGTGCCCCATTCCCACCTGGGGCTGCCCCTTCCCAAAGCCGTCCGGGAGGAAAGGCCAAACGGAAGGTCCCAAACCGTGGGAGCGCCCTGGAGCCAGGCAGCAGATGCGTGGGGCAATGGGGGACGGGAAGGAGCGGGGCGCGTGGGCCGGCTTTGCTGCACGCTCTGCGCTGAGGACAGTGCCAGGGCACGGGCAGCCGCGGTGTTTGGGTGCTGCGGCCGCGTAGTTTCCTGAGGGCTTCCTGCCAGCCTGCTTTCTATGGCACAGTGTCGAGACTTCCAGTTAATCTCTTTGGCACCTGCCAACCTGTTGCTATATTTAAGCACGCCAACCTCCATGCCCCGGTGCAAAAAGACGTGCGGTACCGGCAGTCCTTGTGACAGGAAGGGCTCGTGGACGGGCAACACCCCGGTGGGCTGGGAACACAGCTGCAAGATCCTCACGAGGAGTGGGGAGAGCCCTATGGAAGGGCAGCCCATGAGCAAGGCAGCTTCAAGGGGCTTCCTGAGGGAGCCATGGTCCTGCCGTGGGTGGTGGGGATGGGACGGCTGCCCGAGGGCTATCTGCATGCTCAGGAGATGTCACCTAAATGGCATGAGATTCCCCACGGCCCTCCTGTGGTTGCTGTGGCTGCAGAAGGAGCCCAGCACTGGCTGGAGTGAGGAAGGGGGTGCAGAACCCGCTTGGCTGCTTTGCTTTTCTTGCTGGACACACAGGGCACTCGCAGTGCGGGGGGTTCAGTGCGGTGCCGGGGCACTGAGCAGTGGACGTGTGTGGTGGGGCAGGACAGGGTGCCCAGGCCGCGGTCCCCCTGCCCTCATCCGTGGGGGCCGCGCTGACATCACTCGCCTCCAGGCTAATCTCTTGTCCAGCATCGGTTTCCTGTTTCCTTTCCAATCTCTGCACCACGGGGCGGCTCCTCTCTGCTTGGAGCCAAACAGGAAGAGCTTTCCAGCTGGGATCTCCTGCAGGGCTGCAGCCCCGTGGGGCCGTGGGCCACTGGCTCCCCCCACATCCCTGTGAGGGCACCCGAGGGGTCTTGCATCCTCCCCGCAGCATCCTGCTTGCCCCCTTGCTCAGGTGCTCCAGAGATGCCACCGCTCGGCTCCCTTCCTCTTTGTGCCACAGGGGCATGTCATATAGTGAGCAAATGCCCCTTTTGCTCTCCCCACATCCCTGCAGTCCGTGGTGGCCCCCTATGCCCAGCGATTATTTCCCCCTCTCCAATCAGGAAGATGCCGTAGCATCCACACTAGGATGGGGCAGCTGGGCCAGTGCCCCAGCTCTACCTGCCTGCCCTGTTACCACCATCATCTGGGGCATTTTGGGCAGCACACTGGCCCGAGGCAGCACCCGCACAGGATCTTGAGGCAGCCTGCGCCGTGGCTCATGGGTGAGGAGGGCTGCTCTGTGCTCACATGGCTCCTCGTACCTGCTTAGGGCTGGCTAAA